GGGGGGGAAGGGGGGGACCGGGGGATTGTTTGAAATAGATGCGTCGTCAGGCCTGAAGCACAGCAGGCGGCGGTGATCCGGGGCCGCACAACCCAGCACGAAGGCGCTGGCATCAAGGCTGGCTTTTGCACTGGTTTCCCACTTGATATCTGGTAATACTCGGCACGGGCGGGCTGTCCACAGCCGCATGTGGCCCAGGGACGCGCGCGGCCCAGGCCCGGACCAAAGTGGGCCCCCCACCTCGCGCCCCGAATCATCCCGCCGGTTGCGCAGCCGAGCCGCCAGACGGCGCCCTGGCCCGCCGCCGCGCACCGCCGCGGCCGCCCCAGCTGGCCCCCAAGACGGAGGCGTCCCTCTACTCAAAGGCGCTGATGTCAGCGCTGGAGGACCTCAGGGCGCAGCTTCCGCCCGGCTACCTGCTCAGCAAGGCCCAGGTGTGGACGAATGGCCTTGCTGCGTCGTTTTGGGAGTTTCGGCTCTCGACTCGGCCGGCATAATTGCCTGCTTTTTCAGTCGCCTTTGCCTTACTGGGTGTACAATCAGCACCAACGCCGTGCGAAGCGCTGCCGGCGCGGCTGTCTGCAACACTATTATGGGGCTGGTAGCAGGGGGGGCTGCGGGTTTCCCGCGGCTCAACCTGGCAACTCCGGCCGAACCCTGGACTGCAGGCGCGGGTGGCGGCCTGCCTCCCGGCGGTGGCGTCCTCGATTGCAGTCATCGTCAGGTGGGGTGACTCAGGGATTACGACGTGTAACCGCTTGAAACCGCACCGAGTGATGACGGGTTCATGTAATGCAGCGCTGTGCGTTTTGCCTGTGTGCCGTGTCTGATTCAGGACTGAAGGGCTGGCTGCATGCATTGCACTCTTTCTGGGCCGCTCCCTCTGTCTGCCAGCCTGATCCCATGCCCAAACTCGGCCCTGTGCGATCCGCCACCCGATTCAACGCGTGTACGCGTCCGCCTGCGCAGCCGCGCAGCCAACCTCCAGCTGCAGCCCTACGCCTGCACCCTCCTGGCCTGCCAGCCGCCCGCCCTGGAGGCGCGTCTCCTCTTGGCCATGCAGGCCGCGGCAGATGCGGCGCTGGCGCCGCGGCCCGCGGGCGCCGCCGCGCCCGAGGGCGGCGGGGCTTTGGAGGGCGCCGGCGGCGGCGGGGGCGGCACGGCGCGGCGCCGGCG